TGAGCAGCATCCTCCTCCACAGGCTGAGAGCAACCTTTTTCACTGTCTTTAGGACTTATTTGGGCAGCTGTCAGATTTAAATCAGATTTAAATTCAGCTTCAGCTGTGTTACTGGCCACATTGCCTGGGTGCTTGGGCGAGCTCTGCTCCCTCCTCTTGCCTCCACACAGCTCAGCCTCTCCAGCTTTATTCTCCATCGATGCCTGTGACACAGCTGCCTTGGCTTTGCTCCCTGGTGTCCCTACAAGGTGCGTGGAAATGCTCTCCGTGTCCTTCTCTCCAGAAGAGACAGTGGCTTCTAGTCCCTCCATCCCTTCTGCAGCTCCAGGAGCTGGTCTGTCTTTTGGATCTGCCACCTCATGAGGAAGTTCTGAGGAAGTGCTATCAGTGTTGTGCTTTTTATCAGTGGTTTTTATTTCTTTATCATTCACCTTTGCCACAGGAGAAAGGTGAACTTTGTCCTTCTTTGACTGAACATCCTGTTTAGCTGAAGGAGCCAATGGAAGAGGTTTCCCTGACTCAGTGCCATCCTGGGAAACAGCCTCTCTGGCTTTTACATCTTTCTTTGAAACCTCTTTTCCAGACTCTTTGTGTCCCAGATCTATGGGTTGCTCATAAGATTTCTGGGTTTGTGTCTCCTTCTTAGCACCAGATCCAGGCTTTTTGCTCCTTTTCTCTGCCACTGCTTCAGGAGGAGGAAGAGGAGGAGAAAGCTCCTCATTCCCTGCACCCCCATCCCTGTGCTTTGGGAAGCCAGAGGCAGCATCACCCATGTTACCAGGGCCTGTTACTGTGGTCTGAGCCAAGGATTTTAAGTCACTTCCTTCATTATTCCAAAGCCGTTGAGGGTCAGTGGGAAAGCTTTTAATATTTCTGTTTTCATCTACGAAATCCATGTCTTCCATCCCATATTCCAGCTCAGATCCCACAGGAGGTTGCACTTCATTCCTGTCTGGTTTTGTCTCTAGAAAAACAGGCTGCTTGGAGGCCTTTTTAGCCTTTTTACTATTTCCATCGTAACCCCTTTTTTTAGATCTCTCAGGAACTGGGGCCAAAGTGGGATCAGCCACTGCTGGGTGCTCTGGGATAGGATGTCCATCCCTGCTGCAAGGAGTGGGACTTTCTGCTTCAGGTTTGCCACTCATCTCCATGTCATGAGGAGGGAACATCCCTGCTCCTGTCTGCTCCAGCAGAAATGGCTGCTGCAGCTCAGCCTCCATCTTTTTGCGTTTCTCTTTACTACCTGTGTGTGGTTTTTCTGGCTCCAGAGGCAAAGCAGGAGCCTGTGCTTTGGCAGGATCAGTCAGGTCATCCAGCAGTGTCACTGAAGTCCTAGAATCAGTCTCTTTGCCTTTGTCAGACTGAGTCTGTTTAACATCTGCCACTGCAGGGATGTTACCTGGACCCAGCTCAGGACTATTTTCAGCCTTTTTGCCTTTCACATCTCTGCTTTTATTCTTAGGTTTGTCCATCCCTAGTTCCCTGGTTGGGCTGTGTGTCCCTGCTGTGCCTGCCCTGTGCTCTGGGAGAGACTGGGATATATCTAGTTCCTTCCCTTTATTCATGGGCGAAGTGTTGACTATTTCTGTCTCTGATGTTTCTATCTTATGACCTGAAAGAACTGGCTGATTAGAGAAACTCCTATTGCTACCCTGGATTTCAGGCTTTCCCAGCACGTCTGTGAGATTTTCTCTTTCCAAACCAGCCACCTTCTCTTTATCCCAGGTCATTTCCTTCCTACTTCCAGCCACCTTCTCTTGGCTTGTTTCCCCCCCAGCATCTGGGACAGCTGCCTGCCCCGAAGGACTTTTTTCAGGCTGTTTTCTTTTCCCATCACTACTCCTCTTCCTGGGTTTGTCTGCCACTAGTGTCACATCAGAATTGAGCACCACTGGCTCCCCTGCAGGAGCTGCTCCAGCCTCTTTGCCGTTATTAATCAAATTCACCTGCTTTGTTTGGCTGATGGTGTCAGCCAGAGCAGGCTGCTTGGCTTCCTCTCTCCTGCTCTCCAGCAGCAAACGTTGGTCTAAAGCATCCAAATTAGCTATTTCATTTTCCCCAACACTTTCTTTCAGCTTCTCTGGTAGCAGTTCAATTGGCCTTTGCATTTTAGCTGTATCTGATGTATTCTCCTGCAAACACCCAGCACTGACACAGCCTCCCTCACTGCCCTTATCACTGACATCCTTAGTTTTATCAGTTATGTCAGGAAAACTATTTGGGTCCATCTTATTCTCAAAAAAAGGCTGCTGGAAATAACTTCTTTCCCCTCTTTTACTCCTTCCATCACTACCTCTCTTTTTGGGCTTGTCTGCAGGACAGGCATGTGCAGTGCTGACTGACAGGTGTCCTCTGGCAGGAAAACCTCTGTCTTTATCGGGATAAGTTGTTTCTTTTCCAGCCTCATCTATCCTCCCTCCACCAATGAATCTGCTTCCATCCTCTAAAAGCATCACCTGCTCAGGGAAGCTTTTAATTTTCTTGACTTTCCCTTCACTGCGCTTTTTTCTAGGCCTGTCTGTCCCATGTGTATAACTGGGATCTTTTCCAGTCTGCTGCTCTAAAGCAGTAAATCCTTTTCCTTTGTTTTCATCAGGGGAATCTGCTGCCATCACCCTGCCCAGTGCCCCATCAGAGGTGGGATGTTTGGGTGCCTCAGCCAGCCCAGAGCACAGCTGCTTGGACACACCATCAGCCTTTCCATCCTGCAAAGCAGGAACGTCCTCGGGTTTTGGTGAAACTAAGGGTGTAACAGGCACTTTAGTAGCATCTGTTGGGGTCTTTGATCCTCCCTCTGGAGCACTAACATGTTTATCTGAGGACACTGGCTTAGTTTCACCAGCTTCCTTTGGGACCGTAGGAAGCTTGTCCAACGAGGTCACAGCCTCCCAACCAGTCTGTTTGAGGGATTCACTTTCAACTCCTTTGCCTTTTTCACAGCTCTTCTTTGCTGCTGCTTCCAGTGACCCACTGGAAGGTGGATGGATAGTGTCACTGAGTGCTTCCTGCCTGGGAGATGTGGTTTTGGGCTCCTTATTTTTCTCAGAAAGGGGCAATTCTGCAGGTTTGGTCTGTAAGGGAGTTTCTGCTTGGCTCAGGCTGAGCAGGTCAGCACATTTTGACTCCTTATCCTCCCTCTTCTCATTTTTGCCAGAAATACCTCTTTCTGTTGGCTTGGTGGATCCCTTTTCTGTAATAGATTCCCCCACCTTAGTCTTTCCTGCCTGCTCCAAGGGAAACTCTTTGCTTTTGCCTTTAGATTGCAGCATCCAGCTCTCATCTCTCATTCCTTCTGTTTTCATGCTGTCCCTGGGTTTTGCATCCAACACACTGGGATTTTGGGGCTGCTGTCCTGGTGCTGGCACTGAGCAGGCATTTTGCTCATTCAGGATATGACTCCCAGCTGTTATTTTAGCATCCTTTGGCATATCCAAAGCTCTGCTTCCTGAGGCAGTCAGCTGCTCCCTGCGAGCTTCAGGAGTTACAGGACACACATCTGGTTTGTGTAATTCAACAGCAAATGGGGAATTTCTGGGAGCTTTGGAGACTGTTACATTTTCATCCCAGAACTCCATTGCTCTTGGCAGCTGGTTCCTCTTTTGTTTTGGTTTCTTTTTCTTTTTCTTCACAATGGCACCTTCCAAATCCCAGTTTTCCCGTGGTGGATCTCTGCAGCTCTCCACAAACTCCGCTGGCACACTGGTTGCCTTTTTATGAGAAACCCTAGTGCGAGGGGATGTTCCAGCACCACATCCAAGCTCCACTATAGAACAGGGGTCTGCTTTGGGGTCAGGACTCTTCTGTGGTGGGAGACCTACTGGATGTTCCTCTGGCACATCTGTAAGAGGCACTGGGGCAGGTTTTGCTCTGCCAAACCCGCGGTCACTGGATTTGTTAGCTTGCCTGACTTGTGCAGTGGGTAGACCTGGAATACAGGAAGCCTGCTCAAACATCAAAGCCACTATTTGCTTGATAAAAAAATAATAAATGTACTATATATATGATTTTAGCCATCTAAAACAGGTCATACGTGCAGAATTTTCCAGAACTGACACCACACCAAAGCCACCTTAGTAGGGCTGGGGTAGACACTTACACCCAAAACCTATTTAAACCACTTCAGATTCATACGTCAATGCTATTTTAAAATCCGTCCTGATACATGCTCTTACCCCACCAAAAAGCACCAGTTCTTATAAGGACGTGCTATTGCTTTTTAAAAATGCATTAAGGATCCATTTTGTCTTAGCAAGACAAGATCAGAGAGAGACTTTTTATATCTCTAGCTGGCATCCTCCCAAAATGGGAAAACAGAAGTTTAGTGGAAAGATGGGAAGAGAGAAGGGACATCATGGGGAAAGAGGGCACAAGAGCCAAGATTCCCTCAGCACTCAGGGTGGAAGCAGTGGGAGGCAGAACCTCTGTCCCAGAAGTCACCTGCTGTGTCCCTTCCAGGACTCCCTGAGCCACAAGCCATTGATTTTTAGGAGAACATCAGTCATTTGTCACTTAGCCCTGGCCCGCAAATCAGCCTCTGTGACAAGCGTGAGCACCACCAGCTTCTCTGAGGCTTGGGTTAGTGGAGCAGGAAAAAAAATCACATCTTCCTTTGGTAATTACAAAACTCAATTTGGAAGGAGGTCCTCACTGGGAATATGATAGTAAGAATTAATGGTCCTTTTTAACACCGAAATAAAAAGCCAGTGGTGATGGCAAAGAGATGATGTGAGCTTTTCAATGCTACAGCAGAGAGGATGTGAGGCAGTCCCAGTGATAAAGTATTTGTAGCACATGTATTTGGGGTTTAGTTTGGTGAAATGGAGGGGAAAAGAGCATTTAAGAGGGCAGGGATCAGAGGGGAAGTGCAAGCAGCATCACCCATGAACGCAGAGAACACAAAAGAGATTTCTGCTTGCCCAAGTGGCCCCACAGCCAGGAGGAAAAGGTGAAGAGTTCACAGAGACTTCCATGAGAAAATTGAATTATTATTTATGTCCTACCTGTGGGCTCTTGCAGAGCTTTCCCTTGCTGAGGTTCTTCGTGTTGGACATGGTTGTGCTCAGCCTCCTCCTTTTGTGTCTCAACACCCACAGCAGAACCAGTTTTTTCTGGAAGGTCTTTATTTTCTAGTGCAACAGCTTCCTTTGCTTCTGCTGGAACTGAAATATGAAAAATAGGAACAGGAAGCTTCAGGTCTCAGGAATACAGGCACCCTGCAGTTCAAAACAAGCCCCTGGAAAGGGGAGAGGGTTAATTTTATGTTTAATAGGAAGGAAGTTTGTAAGACATGGTTGTCTACTACATATTATCTCCTCACAATCCTATTTTTAGCAGATGTGCCAAGGTGGAGGTGAAACATGAAGCAGAGACTGTCTCAGGGCTTAAGCACAGGGTGAGGGTTTGTTTGGGATTTTTCCCCTCTTTGTAATCAACCCATTTCAGACTATCTCAGCTTCCCACTGGAATTCAAATCCAGAATAAACTCCATTATCAGTCTGGAGTCCCTGACTAATCCTGATCATCTTGTGTTCATCTGTACCTTCGAATAGATTCATGAAGACACTGCAATATTCCTTGCTATGCATAATTATAGCAAGTTTTAATTTGTGAGACATAATTACATGGGAGAACAGTTCTCTCTCTAATTAATTTTATTTAAATTTTAAATAGAAAGGAAAATGATGACAGACATTTGTACAACAGCTATGGATGAGGAACAAAAAGACAAGTTCTATGAAGGTAATTTCAAATGTTCAGACCAACATGGATTTCTAACAGCCTCGTGTCAGCACACACTAAAAACCTGCTTTAAATTAAACCTTTGCTGCCTTTTCTTTGCTAAGGACAGGAGAACTGTGTCTGTGGTGGGGCAGAATAAGCTGACAGCCAAGTGCTGGCTCCAGTTTTATCCTGAGGTTTGCATTTCTCACCTGCTGGTTCCCAGAGGTGGTTGGTTTGTCCAGGAAGGTGCTCGTCACAGGGGCTGGGAGGGGGTTTGCTATCCTTAAAATGATCCACAGAAGCTTCGGGGGATTTTGATTTTTGTTCCACCTTTGCCATTGCTTCTGCAAGAGGAATATAAAGAATCAAACACTCGTATTTTAAAATTAGATCAGATTAAATAAGATAGAAATCACTCCCTTTCCTAATTCTTATCTTCCACAAGAAACTAAAGGGTTTCCTCACTTTCAAAACAGCAGTATTCCCATTTTGAGGACCTTTCTACCTTCCTGTATTTTCTCTTTCATTCACCCTCCTGGGCCTCTCAGTCACTACATTCTAGCAAGGTTTTTTTTGTTAAAGCTTCTCTCTTGAAGTTTACTCTTATCGTTAAAATTAAGAGTATTAGAAGGTAAGAAAGAAAACACCTCACTCCAAACCCCATCTGCAATCCACACATGCTGCCTCTGCCCAGGACTATTTGCTCTGGCTTGACAGCAATTTTCTCTCCAAAAGGACGATGTCCCTGGAGAAATCCATGCAGCACAGCAAACCTATCATCCTCCATATGGAAAAACCAGAAGTGCCAACCTCATCCCTTCAACACCTGTAGTCATTCCAGGGAAAGGTCCCAAAATTATTAACAAATCCCTTCAGTCTCTTCAGAAACTGTTATCAAGATTGTTTGCAAACTCTGTGTCCTACAGGACCCTGGGGATTTCAGTGTAAGCTGAGGACAGTGGTGATACAGAAATCAGGGATGAGCTAACACGTCTCTGTGACTGTCCTAAAAACTAAACAGCACTAAGAATGATCAATACAAACTTAAGATATTCCAGTTTTTTATTTTATAAGTGAAAAAGTGCCATGAAGAAATTCCTCTGTACCTTGGCAGCAGAACTAAGCTCTCCTCAGGATGTTTCATGCAAGGCATATCAACTTGGATATTGGACTTGATGATCTCAGAGGTCTTTTCCAACCTCAATGATTCTGTGATTCTGTGATTTTGGGCACAGACACTCACCTGCAGGAGACTTGTCAAAGGGTGACTTGTCTTGCTGAAGAGAAGACTCAGGTGTCACCAGGTCTGCAGACACAACAATCTTGATGTTAGTTGCAGAGAGAGGCTGAGTTTCTGCAGAGGCAACTCCAGAATCCATGACAGGACAAGGCTTGGCTTCAGCTGCAGGAGCAAACCCAGAATCCATGGCATGGTGATGGTTGACTTCTGCTGCTGGGGCAAACTCTGCATCTGCTGCTGGGGCAAACTCAAAGTCCGTAACGCGGTGAGGTTTACTATCTGCTGCTGGGGCAAACTCAGAACCCACAGTGTGGTGAGGTTTATTATCTGCTGCTGGGGCAAACCCCCAAGGCATGGCATGGTGAGGTTCTACATCTGCTGCTGGGGCAAACCCCAAATCCATGGCATGGTGAGGTTCTGCATCTGCTGCTGGGGCAAACCCCAAATCCATGGCATGGTGGGATTCCACACCTGCTGCTGGGGCAAACCCTGCACCTTCTGCTGGGGCAAACTCCAAATCCATACCATGATGGGATGTAGCATCTGCTGCAGGGGTGAAGCCATGATCTGCCCCTGGGGTGGATGTGTCATTGGCAGCTTTGGCAGGCTTGGCTTCAGGTGCAGGAGAAAACCCAACATCCGTGGCCTGGAAAGGGTTGGCTGTGGGTGAAGGTGCAAATCCAGCATCCAGAGCTTGGGAAGGAGATTTGGTGTCGCCTGCATGGACAGACCCAGCTTTTTCTGCAGGAATGGGCATGACATCGGAGGCAGGAACAGAGGCTGCACCTGCCACAGGAACACAGGCCACAGAAATCAGTACAAGTACAGAATGCAAACACCCGACTGTGCAGTTTATGACTAGAGAAGATGAGGCTTTCGCTCCCTGTCTTTCCTCTTGTCTTTCAGCATCACTTACTTCCCTCACACCAGTGCACTCCATTTGTATCAGTCTTTATGTCACTCCTGGATGCATCCAAGTGCTTTTTCTACTACAGCCTCACATGCCTTGTTTGTATCCTTGACTCCAGTTGGACATCCATCTGCTCCCAACATGCATCAGCCAAAGATGAATTGTTTTTGTTTCAAAACTCTCTGATGCTACACAGCTGGCAAAGGACCAGAGCTGCTGGATCTGTTGCCAGGAACACATTCCAGCAGAATACAGACAGGAATCACAGCAAGGGGGATTTTATAGAGTCACAGGATCACAGAGTGGTTTGGGTTGGAAGGGATCATGTAGTTGCAATCCCCTGCCATGGGCAGGGACACCTTCCACCTGCCCAAGTTGCTCCAACTCCTATCCAACCTGGCCTGGAACACTACCAGGGATGAGGCAGCCACAACCTCTCTGGACAACCTGTTTTTTCTCTCTGTAACAGGACACAGAACATGTGGTGTCACCTGTATGAACCCAACCGGGTGTTCCAACAGTGGACAAAGTCCTGAGACACTCCAAAGCCACACATACTTCATTTCAACTATCATTTGTGCTGTTGGTGGGTAGTTTGGTCCTGCGGCCTGAACAGAAGCTCTGGCACTCTTGGCACAAAAGCCTCTGCCATCCCATGAATCCCCAACAACCTCCACTCCTTCATGCTCTAATTGGCTTCCTTCATTTTTCAGGTAGTATCTACTTACTCTGAGCTGGTAGTTCCAAACCAACATTTGTCAGTTCGCAGCACAGTAAAATGTCTGCATTTAAGCTACTGTTTTCCTAAAATCCTCTTAAATGAGGTTTTTCAGATGGTTTTTAATGTTTCAGCTGTCCAGATGCAAGTTTTTACAAATGATCAGTGCCAGAAGCACTGATTTCTCTTCTGCAGCTCTTCATGTCCACAGCCCCAAGCACTGCCCATGCTCTCTGTCCTGCAGCACAGTGACCTGAACATCTCCCATCATCTACTGCTGAGTAGCTGCTAGGAAAAAATAAAATTACTACTGATTGTTTGAGTCACATCTAAAAATATCCTCCAAAACCAATGGAAAATGTATTAAATCTAAATTAGCTACTTAAATGGAAGATGGAAAGAAATAAGAAAAAAGGAAAAAGTCCCTTTTCAAATGGCATTTAAGAATCCATTTAGATAAAATAAATATTTCAGCGAACCAAATAAAAAACATCCATTATGCTCCAGCTCCCGTTTTGGTTTTAAAGTGATATCATGATCTTCTCCAAAATAAAACATAAAGATTGTGATTTTACATGAGTAAGACTGTAAATATATCGACGTTAAAAGCAGTATGGATGTTCCCTGGTGATTTATGGAAGTCAGTGGAATAAAGCCTTAAGGAACTGGGCAGAGACCGGCACCATGAGTTTTGTGCTCTGTATAAATACCTGAAAAACTCTGTTTTAAGAGAGTCTCTAAAACAAACAGCTTTGAAGGTATTTCTACACAGCATCAGGCTCATGGTGATGTGGCACGTGGGGGACATGGTTAGTGGTGGCCTTGGCAGTGCTGAGGGAACAGCTGGACTTGATCTTGGAGGGCTTTTCCAACCTGAACCATTCTGTGATTCCACGTTGTAACCATGTCCTTGACACACCTTAGTGTTTCTCTGGAGCTAAAACTTGGAGACGGTAAAGAACCATTAAATCAGCTGCTGGACAGGGACACAGGAGGTGACAAGTGGAGCAACTTGCTGCTTCTCACTAACACTGTTCAGGTATTACAAACCTTCATTCGCTACAGGATCTGTTAATCCCTTGCTGCATTTCCCTCAGAAGAGGCAATTCCACGTCCTTCCACCATCACACCTTGCTCACAAAGGGCCTAAACCCAGCACCAACCTTCAGGCTGGAGGAACTTTACCTGATGCCGTACCTTTTGGTCCATCAGTAGCTCCATGCTCTCCTGGGAATGCTGTAGCTGCAGCAGGACTGAAGTCAGGTACCACTGCTGTGGGACTCTCCGGCAAACTCGTCTTTATTGCTTCTGGCATTGTGGGGGGCACTGGGCAAAACACCAAGTTGGATTAAGCACCTAGAAAGATCTCAGCAAACAGGTACCTCTCCTGGAGTGGCCAAGATGTGAGTCACCCATGCAAGGTGCTGCCTGCAGCCACCCTGTGAGCAAACTCCCCTTTTCAGCATCAGAGAAAACCAGAATTGGCTTTTGTTGCCAAATTTCAGAAAATTCATGAGTGCAACACCGTGGAAGACACTTGAATGCTGAGAGGAGGAAAAAAGCTGAGGAGTGTTCTGTTATACAGCCTCCCCGTTCCACCCTGAGCCCCAGGTAGAGCCAGTAGCTTCAGAAACACTTTCTACCTAGGACCACTGTTAAACTATTCTCTTCTTAGCTTCTTCACCAAAGATCACCGAAGATCTAGTTATGGATCAAATTTTGTAATATCCGTGTATCCCCAATGGAATCATGTCCTAGTGGAGCTTCAAAGATATATCTGTGACCAGAATCTAAAGATACTTACATATAGAATCCAAGAATGGTTTGGGTTGGAAGGGCCCATCCAGTGCCACTCCCTGCCATGGGCAGGGACACCTTCCACCTGCCCAAGTTGCTCCAAGCCCCATCCAACCTGATCTGGAACACTTCCAGGGATGGGGCAGCTACAGCTGCTCTGGGCAACCTGTGCCAGTGCCTCATCACCCTCACAGCCAGGAATTTCTTCCTAATCCCTCATCTAAACCTCCTCTTTTTCAGTTTGAAGCCATTCCCTCTCTCTCAAACTTGCATTTCCATTCTAAATTGACTTGAGAAGCAGAAACCGCTCTCCTTGATCAGGTCCCACTTGGCTCTGTTACAGTCTTGTGTTTCCTGAGAAGGCAACAAGGAGAGAAGTTGTTTCTGCTGCTCAGAAACTCTCTATTGACAGTTCCTGCAGGTCAAGTCCAGACTGTTTTTACCTGGTGGCTCAACAAAGAAAGAGGCATCTGGTCCCTTCATGTCCTGCTGAGCTCCCATCCAATATTCTTCAGGACCTGTGGAAAACAAACATAGTCAGACCAGCCCTAACCTCACAGTGCTTTTATTTTTTCAATTCAAGGCTGTGTTAGTTAATTCTCAAGCAAATTCTCAGTTCCCTCTAAGAAAGGTACCATAACATCATATTATTCTGTGATTAGTGCTAGTGAAATCTTCCATCAGAGAAGAGTTATAACCAGCACTGACCCCACGAACCAAAAGAAGGAATTTCTTTCCTCAGTTCTTCTGGACAAGTGGCTCTGGGTGTCCCTGCCTGAGCAGCGGCTTGGACAAGCTGAACTCCACAAATCTTCCAACCTCAGCCATTCTGTGATCTCCTAATGTAGAATCCCAGAATGGTTTGGGTTGGGAGGGACCTTAAAGATCATCCAATCCTACCTTCTGCCAAGGGCAGGGACACCTTCCACTTAAACAGGTTGCTCCAAGCCCCATCCAACCTGGCCTGGAACACTTCCAGGGGTGGAGCAGCCACAGCTGCTCCTGGCAACCTGTGCCAGTGCCCCACATCTTCAGAACATTCCCACTGAACCAACAACTGTCAATGCCAAGAGGAAACTTTCTAATCTTGACTCATTTCATGTATCAACTCCCCCACCAAGATTCTTTAGGACTGGTAAATGGAGGTTTTCCAGCTGCAAACCCTGCAAACGCACCCAGACATCCAGTAACAGCCAAACCTCTGCTCCTTACCTGCTCTGCCTTGCATGAATTCTGTGCTTGAATCCAGGCCAATGAAGGCTGATGGGTCTAGAGCCTCTGCAGGAGAATACAGGGGCCCCAAGAAAGGCTGTTCAGGTACCATCATAGATCCATGTGGTGCTAAGAAAGTAACAGTCCTTTGGTTAACCCCCAGTCCTAAAGAATCTTCTCCTAAATTTCAGGTTTACACAACATTTGGAAAATCGACTCTTTTGCTCATAAGGAGTTTGGATAAAGTTTATATCAACTCTGCTAGTTCAGTTTTACAAACCCTAAGTTATGAATGAATATAGAACTTTTTAACAAGGTGTAAGACAGTAAACTCAGGCAAATAATTTCCATTTGGCTTTCTGCTTCTGTTTCCAAGAATTCTTGTTAATAACCACCTAAATTCACTTAAAATCACTTAAAATAGTTCAAAACTCAAAGACAACTTTGTGGAAACAGTTCATGTGTGTTTGATTTCTAGCCATGAAAACAAGATAATGAAAAAATGTCGGTGAACTTACGGCCTAAAAAATTTTCAGTACATGAAAGTCACCAGAGAAAACTCCAGGGTGTGACCATAAGGTAGAAATGCTAAGGAAGAACTCACCAATGATGTCTCTCGAAGCATCAACATGGCCTGGGAACAGTGGCACATTCTTCATGTCAGTAGGGAACGATAACTCAGGCAGATTCTCCCCTCTGTGCATGCTGAAGGGATCTGGCAGGAGACAGAACGAGGTCAATGTCATAAAAAGATGAAGATGCACCAATCCCACCACTGCACTTCCCAGGGAAAGCTGCTTTGGGGATTATTTACCAGGAGCAAACACCTTCATAATCAGAATTTAAAACCCAACAGTAACACACAGTGGCTCAGGCTGTTTCCTAGGGAAAGCTGATGGAAGTTTAGATCATGACTGTTCAGGGAGAACCTGTCTCCTCCTCTCGAGGAGGAAGCATCTGTTTCAGCCCTAACGGACACATCCAGTTGAACTGAGACAGGAACAACAGCTGTGCTCTGGCTCAGTTAACTCCAGAACACACCAAGGAAAAGTGTGGAACCTACATACTCTCCTCCCCAGGAACAGTATCCCTGTATGAACTGGGGTGATGGGCCAGTATTTTAATCAAGTTACAAGCCAAAGAGGATAATAACAGATTTCCCACTGTTCCAGGCAGATTGCCCCATCCCTGAAGTGTTCCAGGCCAGGCTGGATGGGGCAACCTGGGCTAGCGGAAGGTGTCCCTGCACAGGGCAGGGGTGGAACAAGATGATCCTTAAGGTTTCTTCCAACCCAAACCAATCCATAAGTAGCTTTCGCCTTTAGGCCCAGACCAGATGTGCTGGTGAGGCTGCAGAACCTTGAGTTCACATTTGCAAGTTGTCTGGTGTCAGCTTTGGTTCATCTCATGTGCTTTAGTTTTGTCCTGATTTTTGGTCTATGTTTTAAGTGGGTACACCAACATTATCTGCGAATGATGGCACTCCAGCAGCTGAGGGTTCAAAGAGAAAATTCCTTTCTTCCAAGTTCCTTTTCGTGTGTACACAACTCCTTTCCCCTCAGGTGATCACCATGGGCATTCACATAAGACAGGGCAGAGAGAATCCTCATGCTGGGATTTATAACATGGATTATTTAACTGAAATTCCATGAGTCAGAGAGGAGGCAGATGACTTCACTGACAGAATAAAAAAGAGAAGACAACCCTTCCATGAGTTACTCACTGTGCTGTGACACAGCCAAGGGCAAGACACTGCAGGGGGAAGGGAATGTGGCATTGCTCTCTCACAGAAACCATTCTGTAGTTTACACACCTGGAACACTTTCACAGATGGAGCAGCCACAGCTGCTCTGGGCAACCTGTGCCAGTGCCTCACCACCCTCACAGGCAAGAATTTCTTCCCAATATCCCACCTAACCCTGCCCTCTGTCAGTGGGAAGCCATTCCTCCTCGTCCTGTCCCTCCAAGTGTTTGCCCTAAGTCCCTCTGCAACTCTCTTGGAACTCCTGGAGGCACCAGAAGGGGCTCTAAGGTCTCCTGGGAGCCTTCTCTTCTCCAGGCTGAAGAGAAGAAACCCCAGCTCTCCCAGCCTGGCTCCACGGCAGAGGGGCTCCAGCCCGTGGAGCACCTCTTTGGCCTCCTCTGGACTCCCTCCAGCAGCTCCACATCCTTGTGCTGCTGGTGCCTCAGAGCCTGAGGCAACACTGCAGGTGGGTCTCACCTGAGCAGGGCAGAAGGACAGAATCTCCCCTCACCTCCTGCCCACACTGTGGGGATCAGCCCAGGACATGGGTTACAGACCTTCACATGTTAGGAATTGGTGAGCCCTGACACATCTGGCCAGATGTCCATGGCATTTCTCTCCAGACGGGCACAGCTGAGCAGCGAGAGGTTTCCGCTCTTGTGGCCTCTTGCAGGTGAGTGACACTTCTGACGACTCTCACATTACCAGGATCTGAAGACCTCTCCGTTCCCCAAATGCCTGTCACACCCCATTTCCAGACATTCCACAGATTTATTCCAGCTAAGCCCAATTACCAGGGATTCGCTTGAAGGCTGTTGCTCATTTTCATGTCAGATGTGCTACCTGCAGGGTTGACAGCTCAACTTCAGGTGTTCCCATGCCCACGGTGTGCTAAGATGTCAAGATCAGGTGAGCTGAGTGAATTCTTTTACAGACCTGTCAGACTGTTTGAGATGCCAAGACAACATCTTGCCTCAGAGCAATGTGTGGAATATTTTAATTTCGAGCTGTTTAGAACAGGATTACCAAGACTAAACAGCTTTTTTTTTTCCCAGTTAAAAAAAACAACCCCAAAAAAACCAACAAAAAAAGTCCCAAATTAAATCATCAGGACTGAAACCAATTTAAAAACCGGAAGAGGTATTGCTGATGTCCCCTTGTTGCCCAGCTGTTGGATGATGTGGCAAAAATGGGTGACCTAGATTAAACCCCATCTCTGCTCCAGAGGGAAAAAGGGGAGAAGTAGAAAAATTTTCTTGGTTTTTACAGCTGAATGTCTGTTTCCCATTCCCAAAGAACTGACAAGAACTCAAGGTGAACTAAGATAATCACCGAATCCCACACTGGTTTGGGTTGGGAGGGACCTTAAAGATCATCCAGTTCCACCCCCTGCCATGGACAGGGACACCTTCCACTAGAACAGGTTGCTCCAAGCCCCATCCAACCTGACCTGGAACACTTCCAGGGATGGGGCAGCCACAGCTGCTCTGGGAAACCTGTGCTAGTGCCTCATCACCCTCACAGCAAATAATTCCTTCCCAACAGCCCATCTATCCCTGCCCTCTGGCAGTGGGATGCCATTCCCCCTTGTCCTGTCCCTCCAAGCCCTTGTCCGAAGTCCTTCTCCAGCTCCCCTGGAGGCCCTTTAGGGCACTAAAAGGGTCTCTAAAGGTCTCCCTGGAGCCCTCTCTTGTCCAGGCTGAACAGCCCCAGCTCTCCCAGCCTGGCTCCATGACAGAGGGGCTCCAGCCCTCGCAGCATCCAGATCAGCATCACAGAGCCCAGGGCACATTCAATGCATTCTCTCCACTCTTCCAGAACCGGAAGAGCTGTAATTTCCCCTGTTTCTCCCCAAGGAATGAGGAATTACAGCAATGGTGGTCAGGAAATCCATGACACCACTGATCAGAGTGGTTCTCTCCTTGGGAGGGAAATCATCCCCCTGTTTAATAACCCCCAGACTCCTATGAGTCTGATGTTCACATTCTACTCTTGCTGACAAGTCCCTAAAACTTGTCTGTCCCCTCTGATCCCTCTGCCCTGTTATGGGTCTCGAGGAAGCTCCAAGTAGAACCTCATTTATACAGAACTGGAAGAGCAGCAAGGAGTGTATTTTGATGCTGGAGGAAATGTGGTACCTGATGCCGGTACAGGTGTGTGAGATACTCCCAAGAACATAAAACCAAAATAAATCTGGTTTCATGTCACAAGTAACCCACAGATTCAGGCCAAAAGAACACTGAGTGATGGGCCAGGGATGTAAAATGTTCCTAATCAAAGTCTGACATGCAGCTCTTGAGCGTAAGGACATTGGCATCCCATTCCTGCATGGAGAAAGTGACAGAAGGGAAAACCCAACAAACCAGTGTCTCTTGTTTCAGTTCTTCCATGAACTGTTCCTTACCCTTGTAACAAAACAGCATTTCTTCACAGAATCTCTTAGTAAATACAGATTCAGATGGCAAGAAAATCATGCAGAAACCAGGTCTACAGCACTCGAAATAGATTAAAAATAGATCAAAATAGATTAAAGATGAAGTTCCATCCTGTATCTTTCTGGGTTGATTGCCTGTGATAATCTGGGCAGCACACACATTTCCCAGGCCCTCCAAGAGCCAGTAAGCAATTTCCCGTAAGCTTTCCAAAAAATGAGAGAAAACTGAGGGAAAGTTGTTGGGTCAAAGTGTATCTTCTGGCAGGGTTGGGTTACACAAGGCTCATCTAATTTTCAGGAGTCAGCAGCTCCAGAGGCTGCTCGGGAACAGCCCGACCTGCATTGCAGCGCAGCGACGTGACAGCTGGAGGTGGCGTTTCCCGGAGCCAGGGAGGCTGCAACAGCTGGCAACAATTTTGGTGAGGTTTGCACTGAAATCCACAGTTCTTCGGAGAAGTTAAACTCTAGGAGTCAGCCAAAAACTGCTGTTGTCACAGAGCCATAGAATCATTAGGGTTGGAAAATACCTCCAAGATCAAGTCCAACCGAATACACACTCATGGCACACTAAACCATATCACAAAATGCCACATCTGTGCGTTTTTTGAACACTTCCAGGGATGGTGACTCCACCCCTTCCCTGGGCAGCCTGTGCCAGGGCTGTACAGCCCTTTCCAGGAGG